CTGCAACCCCAGCGCACCCGCCCGCGGCGGCCTAGGGGCGGGGAGAAGGAGGGTCTCCGGTTCCGTGCTCTCCAGGCAGCGGTGGTCTGGGCGGTCCCGGGCCAGGTGGAGAGAAGCGAAGTATGTAACTACCCCTCCAACACCCCCGTCCCTACATTTTACACACACACACACACACACACAGCCACAGGCCCTCATTCAGAAGCTAGAGCTGCTCCTGCAGACCCTGCCTGACCTGCCTTGAGTACCGGAGCCATTGGAGGACATAAAGAAAGCCATTTAATCCGGGGGGAAAAGAAGCTTTTCGTCTCTATTCACCGTGTTTTATTTTTAACCGTGGAGGGCTTGAGTGTGGTTAAACAGAACACACGCCTTTAATGCAGTGCCATAAATTTACCCGTTCGCTACCCTCCTGGTTCCTCCCTCCCCCTATTTCTCTCCATTCTGGCGATTAAAAAGCAAACCCAGAAGGTTTGGTGGTCTGTCTCCTGGGCAGAAGGATTGAAATTAGTGACCTTTTTTTTTTTTTTTTCCAGAAACGCAGGCCGCAGCTGGGAGCAAGGCGTGGGGCTCCTGGGTGGTCAGGAAACACCCAAGAGGAGGGAGTTGGGGGTGGGTGAGAGGAGCTCAGCTGGCCTACTGCTGGGGCACCGAGAGGGAAGCCTGGGGCCTCTGGCGACCTGGTGACTTACAGCCCCATGTGATTAATCTCCCACAGCTGTTGTGCCCCATCCACTCGAGCCGAGCTCTTGTTTACCTCGATTTTCAAATATAGCTGCTGCGCCATGCTCTTCCTGAAATAGGGGTCAGTTCACTCCGTCTGGGCACTTGGCCTCTCGCTGGCCCTTCCTTCCGCCTGCCGCACTGGATCCCAGTTGGAGAGGAACTTGTCCCTTCATGCCTTGCAGCTCTTCAAATGAGGATGGTGGGTGGTCAGAGCTTGGCTGACTAGGCGTGGGGCGGGTCCCCCAGCCCCTCACTGCAATCTGCACTCCCTATGGGCAGTCCCCCACAAAAGTCCACAGGACAGCCTCATTTTTCTTTAAATAGAATATAGATGTGGGTTGAGGAGCGGCAGATGGGACCTACAGAACTGAACTTGGTTGAAGTGGTTCTTGAACTGAGTGAAGATGGGAAGGCTGTTTCTTCTCCTGCACTCCAACCCCCCTGGGTGTCTAATGTCCTCCTGTTCACCCCTCAGCTCTTACTCCATTGGTTACTTCCTCCAGGAAGCCTGCCAGGCCTTCTTTGGGCCAGATCCCCTTATTTTATATGCCCATAACCTGAACCAGTTATTTTGAAGTAACTTAAAGATGTACATTAAATCTATGAATGTGATTGAATAATGCCAGTTACACCTTTAGATTGTAAGCTGCAGGAAGGGAGGAAAGACAGCTGGTGAATTTACTCACATAGTATCCCCAGGGCCTAGCACTGTGCCCACCGTAGAGTAGTTGCTCAATATTGTTATGTTAAATAAGCAGACTTGGAGGGAGGAGTTCCATCTCCTCTCTGCTCATGCTCCTCTGAGCTCCACTTTGGCATCTCTTGCACTGCCCTCCACAGCCTTCTGGTCAGAGAAGGGAGAAGAGGGTCATCAAACTGACCCCGTAAAAACATTCCCTTCCCCCAGGCTGCTCCTTGGGCTGAGACCTGAAGCCCAGGCAGTGTCCTCTTACCCTCATTCTGCCCTGTCTTTGTGCAAGGCGGTTCCTTATATGGTCTCTGGGCACAGTTGCTGGTATTGTCCATGGATGGTCATCATGGGCATTGTTCCGTGGTCTGAATTGCCCACAGTCTGGACTTGGGGGACTGTGTCACACATCTTGGCTTCTCTTCACGCTACCAAGGTCAGATAAGAAGGGAAGATAACTCCCTTTTCACTCAAGTCTGGTTGCTTTGTCTAGAGCAGTGATGGCGAACCTATGACACGTGTCAGAGGTGACATGTGAACTCATTTTTTTGGTTGATTTTTCTTTGTTAAATGGCATTTAAATATATAAAATAAATATCAAAAATATAAGTCTTTGTTTTACTATGGTTGCAAATATCAAAAAATTTCTATATGTGACACAGCACCAGAGTTAAGTTAGGGTTTTTCAAAATGCTGACACGCCGAGCTCAAAAGGTTCGCCATCACTGGTCTAGAGGTTCATATATTGGGTGAGGTTCAGAAATACATTGGACTCCAAAAGAAAAAGCATTCATTTACTTATTGAATCAGTTATTCAATAAATATTCAACAACAACCTACTCAGCCAGGAATTTGCTGGGTACAGAGGCAAAGAAAATAGAATGGTTCCTTTCCTCATAAACACACATTCACTTCAGCAGTGAACAGGCAATGGCCATCCATACAAAATGATTCCTTTTAGTGGAGGGTAAATCCTGGGCACAATGGAAGCATATAGGAGGATCACCTCTCTATGTGCCTTACAGAGGACTTTCTAGGGACAACTAAATCTCAGAAAGAAAGGATGGGTATGAGTTGGCTTTGGTGAAAATATGGAGGGGGTGAGGTGGGGGAGAAAGTGTTATGAGGGAAGGGATCAGTATTGGATGAGAGCTCTTCCAAATGACAGAAGCCAGAGGCTAAAATTCGGGGAGATGAATTTTGAGAAGCTCCAGGGGCCAAACTTCGAAGGGCTGGTACTCCCATGTTAAGGATTTCCACTGAATTTCCTTTGGGGGCTTAGGAAGGTTTGGGGTATTGAAGTGCAGGGCCCAATTTGTATTTTAGATAGTATGTGGAGACTGGGATGTAGGGAGAGAGAGGGAGGCAGGGCGTTAGGAGGCTGTGGTAGAAGCCTGTAGTGTGTCATTGTCCTGGTGGCCTGTGAAGGAGGGTAGGGGATTCCTCTTTCTGTTTTAGCATACAAAGCAGAGCTGCCCTTCTAGAAAGAAGTTCTACCACCCCAGGCTTTCACCACCTTATTGTCTGTGTCCATGGATTATATATGCAAGTGCCCATCAGCAGATGAATGTATTAAAAAAGCTGTGGTACATTTATACAACGGAATAGTATGCAGCTATAAAAAGGAAGAACTCATACCATTTGTAACAGCATGGATGGACCTGGAGAGAAGTTCCACTATTTTTAATGAGATTGGTTTATGTTTGGTGGTCTGTTTTTTGAATGGGCACTCTAAGCCCAACACTGGGCAGGTCACATCTGGGGAAAGAAAAAGTGGCTCCAGCAGGTGTAAAACATACTTCCTGGCCTACTGGGCTGCAAGGAGAACCCCCAAAGTTAAGAGATCTCTGGGGGCTGGGGAAGGCCCCAAGAAGGAGTCTGGAAGGGTAAGAAGTATGTAGATACATAGAGACTACTGAGCAAAGACATCTAGATAGGAAGAATCACAAATGTATGTGTATGCCTATGTTTTGGTAATATGAAGAGTGAATAAAGGCTAATTCCAGTATCAAGGGTATTCAGATATGGTACACAGAGTCAGTTATAAGAAAACAGCTCTATTTCGTCCTGGGTGTAATTTGGAATGAGCCAAGTAGCATGGATGACAGCGATATTTGGAATGATAAATAGTGCTTTTCTGGTTGTATGCAAGAACAATAGGCCATGTGGGGGACTGGATCTGGAAGTGGGACTGGAAACCATAATCCTGCCCTGGCTTTCACGTGGTAGTTTCCAAGTCACTTGAGAGGGGAGGACCTCAAAGTCACGCACTGCTGTGTCCATCCTACAGAATGAAGCCAAACAGTGTGAGCTTGGTTGATGTTCTTCCTTTGCTCCCTGATCTCCCCACTTTGTTCCTCATCCTTCCCTGTCACTAGTCTCCCTTCCCCGTCTGCATAGTACCCAGGATCCACCCCGGCCCTGCCATCAAACCCCATCCTAAAATGAACATCACTTGTCTAATTCCATCCCTCCCATCATGCTCTTTTCCCATCTTACTTACAAAAAACTCTTGCAATTTTAGAGTAATCACCTGTCTTTATTTTCTCACCACTAACTCATTCATTCATTTAGCCCCTTGTTTTCCCACTTTTCTCCACCTCTGGCCAACTCTCATCCACCAAGGACTTCTTATTCTCCAAAACATAATAATTTTGTCCTGATTACCTATCTATCTATTTATCTATTTATCTATCAATCATCTATTTATCTAATCTACCCCCTTCCCATCCCCATCAGATAAGATTGACCATTAGCTCTTAAAACTTTCCCCTCTTGGCTTCTCTGGGTCCCAATAATTCTCTAGGTCAGCGGTTCTCAACCTGTGAGTCGCGACCCCTTTGGGGGTCAAATGACCCTTTCACAGGGGTCGCCAAAGACCATCAGAAAACACATATATAATTACATATTGTTTTTGTGATTAATCACTATGCTTTAATTATGTTCAATTTGTAACAATGAAAATACATCCTGCATATCAGATATTTACATTACGATTCATAACAGTAGCAAGATTACAGTTATGAAGTAGCAATGAAAATAATTTTATGGTTGGGGGCCA